CTACCATTTGAGCCACAGCGCCACTTCCAGCTTTTTCTGCGTATGTGGTGCTGAGGAATCAAACCCAGGGCCTCATGCATGCAAGACAAGCACTCCATCACTGAGCCACCTTCCCAGCCCCCAAGTTTATTTCTTAATGGAGCTTCAGAGAACTTAATTTGTTCAAGTTAATTTTTTTTAAATAGCCTTTTTGCCAGGCAGTTACATTAGTTTTACAGGGGAGGATTTCATTATTGTATTTCCATACTTGTTTACAATATATTCCAATCAATAGTAATTGATGTCCTTTTGATGTCAACATTTAGTGTATTGAATAAGGACTGTTGTTCAATCTCTACGAAAATAGTTTCATTTATTTTAAAACATTGGTTATTTTTTCATGTAACTTGTTTATTTTGTATATTTGGAATTTATTTTGTATAAAATGGCAGCATGCCCATTTTAATCTATGTTTTTAATCCGTGGCCAATTGAGTCTGTGCAATTATATAAAGCATCCTTTGTTCCTCTGCAGTACTATCCTACATATTTTGGTCAATTTTTGCAGTTCTCCTTTTTTTCCTATGGCTTAATTGCAGCTCTGCAAGCTTTGTAGTGAATGGTTTCCCATACTTCTTATTATGAAGAATTTTGAGCACATAACAAAGTTGATACAGTGTAAGCACTCATTACTTGTGTTTATAACCAGTCATTTTCCAAATTTGTTTGAATTTTCTCTATTTAGATACATTTTTATATACATATTTCTGAAAAAACAAAAACTGTTGAAAAGAAAATAATATATCTTATGACATTTCCAGGCTAAATATTTGATATGCACTTCCTAAAGTTTAAAAGGTGTGCCCCACTTTAGCTATAATTCCATTCTCCTTTCCTTTCTCCCCATCTTCTCCTAACTAGCCTCATATTTAGCCTAGTGTTGTATATCTATCCTATCTATCTGCCTCTCTGTATCTATCTAATCCCATCATTACATATACATATGCATCATTACATATACATATCCACATATATGTTTGTGGGGTTTTTTTATTTTTTTAAAGTTTTTTTTTTTATTGTTTTTGTTTGTCGGTCCTGGAGCCCAAACTCTAGCCCGAACTCTGGGCCATGTTTGTGTTTTAGATGTAGTTTCCACTCATGAATGAAAACATATGATACTTTGTATTCTGAGCTTGGCTTGTCTCATTGATGTCTTCCAGTTATACCCATCTTCTGCAGATGACATGATTTTATTTTTCTTCATGGCTGTGAAAAAAAATATGTGTGTGTGCGTGTGTATGTATATATATATATATATATATATATATATACACACACACACACATATATATATGTCGCTCTACATATATATACATTCCTAGAATGTATGTCAGCTTTATTTATTGGATTGATTTTGTTTTGTTTTGCTTTTCAGAATTTGTAATTTTCCTACGTATATAGTATTATACTTGGAGGATTGGTGCCTAAGACTAAATATAAAGTTAATTTTGTTTCATATATACTTTATACCCATAACTTGAGAGAGAGAATGTGCCAATGCCAGTCCTGGGTCTTAAGCTCAAGTCTTAGATGCTGACCCTGAGCTTTTGTGCTCAAGGCTAGCACTCTAATACTTGAGCCACACACCTCTACTTCTTGCTTTTTGGTGGTTAATTAGAGATTAAAACCTCATGGAATTTACTGCTTGGTCTGACTTCAGAGTGCAATCCTCAGATCTCAGCCTCCTGAGTAGTCAGGATTATAGCCATGAGCCATCAGTACCTGTCCATGTTTTGTATAATTTTATTTAACAATTTTGCTTGTGAAGTGAAAGAATTTCATTTGTGGCATCATGTTGCTATTTAAAGTTTCAGATCTTGGAGCATTTCAGGTTAAATGTACTCAGTCTCTGTACAAATTGCTAAATGGTGTTGATAAATTTAAAATGTGTAAAGGTAAAATATAAAGGAAGCAACTGGGCTGGGAATGTGGTGTAGTAGTAGATGCCTAGCATGCATGAAGCCTGGGTTCGAATCCTCAGTACCACATAAACAGAAAAGGCCAGAAGTGGCACTATGGTTCACGTGTTACAGTGCTAGCCTTTAGCAAAAGAAGCTCAAGTGCCCAGGCCCTGAGTTCAAGCCCCAGGACTGGCCAAATAAATAAATAGATAGATAAATAAATAGATAAATAATAAAATAAAGGAGGTGATTACATGAAACAGCTACTGCCCTCAAGATTCAGAGATATTTATGTTCCTCTCTTAAGAATATCCTCCTTTTTTCTCACAGTGTATGAAGGCCTAGCCACCAGTATAATATCTCATGTCCCAATATACTTATCATTTATTTATTTATTTATTTCACCCAGTGTGTTTACTGGAATATTTATAGGCACATTCTAGCTACCACAAATGAGGAGGATATTCTTAGTATAGAGGAACACAAAGTCATAATACCTATGTGCAGCTGTTCATGTAAATACACAAACTCCAGGAAATGGAAATGAGGGTTTTGTTGTTATTGCTGCTGTTTTTGTTTTGTCTTGTTTGTTCATTTATCTGTTTTTGGAGGGTATGGGAGGACACAGAAATGGTGGGACAAAAGATAAATGCAGTAGTGGTAATCACTAGGTACTATTTTGAAAATGAACTATATAATGTGGATGGATGGAGTGGGGGGAAAGAGTAAAGAAAGGGGTAACACTATTGACAAAGAAATGAACTCTTTATCTGATGTATGTAACTGTAACTACTCTCTACATCACCTTTACAATAACAATAAAAATGCATAGAAACGGAGATATTTAAGATTATTGAAACTTAGATACTTAGAGAAGGATGAGTCTAAGAAGAGGGTACTTTGGTGTCTTTGATGGACACAAGGTGCTGATTCAATAAGGTTAGAAATACTGGAATTAGGTACTACCCTAAGTAAGTGGTCTGCAGTGTTACTAGTTTGTATATTAAAAACAGCCAAGCGTCAGAGGTTCAGAACAATAATCCTAGTTACTAAGGAGGCTGAGATCTGAGGATCACAGTTCAAAGTCAGCCTGCAAGAAAGTCCATGAGACTTCTATCTTCAATTAATCACAGAAAAAGTGGCTCTGTGGTAGAGCATTTGCCTTGAGCTTAAAGAACCCAGAGATAGCACCCAGGCCCAGAGTTCAAGCTCTAGGACTGGCAACAACAACAACAAAAAACACATGAAAATCTAGGTGAATACTAGGCCCAGCATCTCAAAGAAAAGTATATATTAAACAGAAAAACAATGAACTTCCATGTACTGTGACTTTCCTGAAAGCTTCAGTTTTTCAACACTTTGTAATACCTAGAATAGCCCTCAAAAATAGGTTTTACTGGACACCAGTGATTTACTCCTGTAATCCTAACTACTCAGGAGGCTGATATCTGAAGATCCAAGTTTGATGCCAGCCAGAGAAGGAAAGATCATGATACTCTTATCTCCAGTTAACAATCAAAAAGCTGGAAGTGAAGCTGTGGCTCAAGTTATAGAGCACTAGCTTTTGAGCAGAAAAGCTCAGGGAGAGTGCTCAGGCCTTGGATTTCAAGTCCCAGGACCAGAACCAAAAAAAAAAAAAAAAAAACCTAAGTGTTACATTCTTCACATTGACCTTAATACCAATTTAAAAAACCCTAAATTTCCTATTTTTTTGTCCATCACCTTCTTCAATATTGTACTATAATTTGTTTTTAACAAAGTTTTTTAAAATATAATTTTATTGTTATTATTAAGGTGTTGTGCAAAGTGGTTACCATTTCATAAATCAGGTAATGAGTACATTTTTTGGCAATATCACCCCTTCTTTGCTTTACCCCAGTTTCCCTATCCTGTTCCTGCCCACAAAATACAGGGTGCATTTTCCATGTAGAGTCTGCTGTATGGACATTTTCACAATATTAATTCTATCTAGCCAAGAACATGGGAGGTCTTTGCATTTCTTGATGTTGTTTTCAATTTCTTAAGATTTTTATAGATTTCACTATAGAAATCTTTTCCTTCCTTGGTTAGATTTATTCATAAAGTTTTTGAGGCTATTGCAAATGGAATTGTTTTCCTGATTTCCCTCTCTGATTGTACATTGTTGATCTATAGAAGGCTACTGATTTTGATGGATTGATTTTGTATCCTGCTACTTTGCCAAAGTTATTGATCCCAGCTCTAGGAGGTTGGGGATAGAGCCTCTTGGGTCCTTTAAATATAAGATCATGTCATTGGCAAATAGAGATAGTTTGACTTCTTCTTTCCCTATATGAATCCCTTTCATGTAGCACATGTTCTTTTTAAGAGCAGTTTTAGGCTCACAACAAAACAGAGCATATACTAAAACAGTTCCCACCTATTTCTGGTTGCCCTTCCACAACCTCCCTTCTGCCTGGTGGTACTTGTGCTAAAATCAGTGGATTATATTGAGGCAACCATCACCAAAGCACACCCGTTTCCTTAAGGTTCACTGTCTTCCCCCTCCGTCTTGTACTGAAGCTTGAATTCTGGGCCTTTCTTCTTTGCTTCACCCTTCCTCACTTCTCCAAATTGGTATTCTACCCTCTGAGCCATACTTCCTAGCTTTTTGCTGGTTAATTGTAGATAGCAGTGTGGCAAGTTGTCTCCCCAACCTGACTTCAAACTGTGATTCTTAAATCTCACCCTCTCCAGTAGCTAGAATTGTAGGTATAAGCCACCAGTGCTGGGCTCAGAGTTCACTATTGATGTTGCATTTTTATACTGGTTTTGAAAATGTAAAATGACATGCAGCTACCATTGAGTCATAGAATAGTTTTAGTGTCAAAATTCATAAATGCAGCTTCTTTCTATTCATCTTCACATTCCTGTAAAATCCTGATAACCACGTTGTTTTTTTACTCTCTTTATAATTATGCTTTTTATACAATGCTGTATTGCTGAAATTGTGTAGGTTTAACTTTTTCAGATTGGCTTCTGCCACTTACGTGCATTTAAGATCCTTCCATCTTTTCTGAATTAATTTCCTTCTGATTAGCAGGTGCTTCTAAAGAAGGAGGGGCTGGAGCCGTTGATGAAGATGATTTTATAAAAGCTTTTACAGATGTCCCTTCTATTCAGGTAAGGCTGCCTGTGTACCTGTGTACCTGTGCATATCATTTGTTTTATCTTTTTTTAAATTCTTTTTTCCTTAAGATATTATATAAGTGATATATGACTTGTTACCAAGCCATATTTATTGGTATAGTCGGATTTTCAGATAATTATAACTTAAGTAAAATTGAATCCATAGTGTTGAGTCACATTTCATGTCAATATCCAACTAACTTAGAAGTCCACATTTTGATTCTAGAGAATGAAGGTTGGCTGACAATAGAACTTTGAAACTTATTCACATAGAAATACTGAATAAACATATTTGCAAATAAAAATACTATTTCAATGTCTTAAAAACACACATACATTTTAGATTGTACATAACATTCATACAGTCTGACTTTTTACTCGGTATTGTTTTAGTATTTTTCCACAATGTAAAATTTGTAATCCTATTTCATTCATTTGGATTGATAAATGGGAGTCTTTTATATGAACAGACCTCAATTTATCCTTTTTGTTCAAAAGATAAATCAGATTGTATGTTACAATCATTTTTTTACACATGTTCATATTTGCAGGAGTTTCTTTAGAACATAAACATAAGAGTAGAATTGCATGGTTATAATCTTTTAAATGTGACTAGATTTTACCCTAGAATTCTTGTACCACACTCTTACAAGAGAGTAAGATAAATCTCATTTCCTCAGTTTTGCTCTCACCGTTGTTTTTTTCTGTTATAATGGACATGATTGTGGTTTGAATGTTTAAATGTTCTTTTCACACTGATTTTTGTTGTTGTTTGTTTTTTTGGTCAGTCCTGGGGCTTGAACTCAGGGCTTAGGTGCTATCCCTGTGTTTTTTCACTCAAAGCTATTGCTCTACCACTTCAAGCCACAGCAGCATTTCCAGTTTTCTGGTGGTTGCCTGTCTGGCATTTTAATGGTAAATGGGAGCTGGAACCTCTCAACTTTTCTTCCCTGGCTTACTTAGAACCTCAACCCTCCCTTAGCCTTTCTAGTAGCTAGAACTATGAGCCTTTGCACATGCTAGTCACTCTACAGAATACCAAATCCCTTTATACGCTGCCTTCTCTTTTAGCTATAAATCTAAGTTTGACTCTCCAGACTAGGGCAAACTTTCTATTATATGTAGATTTTTATGGCCCTTTCATTCTCCTTTGTGGTACTTAACCTATTTGTAGTTTCATATTTTATATCATTTGATCAATTGCTAAGTGTTTCAGATTGTAGATTATAAGGTCCATAGGCAGACAAAATATTTTATGTCTATTTTTGCTCACCATAGTCTCCCTAATGTCCAGCATAGCTTATGTGAATATTTGTGAAATTCATGAAGGAATAATAATACCTATCTACTTAAAAAGGAAACAAATTATGTAGTGGATATCTTGGCTACATTCATTAGAAGAAGAGAAAAACTAACTTAAAACATGTCTTTGAGCACAAAAGGGGTAACAAGGAAGAAGAATAAATGAAAACCACTTACTTTATTATCATTATTTTTTAAATGGACCTACAGTGGGAAATAGACTTACTATATAAAAGGTTATTTTAAACATTATTTTGTTATTTATGGCAAGAAATACTATTAAAATTCTTAATGCTTTCTTTAAGATTTATTCTAGTCGAGAACTTGAAGAAACATTAAATAAAATCAGGGAAATACTGTCAGATGACAAACATGACTGGGATCAGCGTGCCAATGCAGTAAGTGCTTTTTTAATTTTCTCATTCCTCATTTCTTCTTTCTAGAGTTTCTTTTAAACACATAGAAAGTATGGTATTTACCAATATAATAGAGTATTTGAGTGACAGTAATTTCTTTCTGGAGGATGCATTGATCTGATAGACATTTTCTGGTTTAGGTTACCTTTTTCTCATTTTTACTGCCTAACCCACTTTTTTTTTGGGGGGGGGGGAGTTCTGGGACCTGAACTCTGGGCCTGGGCACTGTCCCTTAGCTCTTCAGCTCAAGGCTAGCGCTCTACCACTTGAGCCACAGCACCACTTCAAGCTTTTTTCTTTTTCTTTTTGCTTATGTGGTACTGAGGAATCGAACCCAGGGCCTCATGCATGCAAGGCAAGCGCTCTACCACTGAGTCACCTTCCCAGCCCTACCCACTTTTTACTTGAAGAGTTTGTTGACTGACCAAGAAAGTATGAGTTCTAGAACTCTTCTGCATGGTTGCTTCTCAACACCAACTTCAAGTAATGGGAGATTTGTTGGAGTAGCAATTCCTTTTCTTACAGGCTCAGTGTCTTCCAAGTAATAAAAGAGTATGTCCATTTATCTAGGGTTTTTTTTGTTGTTGTTGTTCCAATGAATGTGATCAATATTATCACCAATGATTTTTTTAAAAGATTTCATTTCCTCAAGTTTAGAATACCTTAAATTCTTTTATGAAATGTTTGTTTTTATTTTTTATTTTATTTTTTTTCTTTGATGAAATTTTTATAAACTTTTAAATTTTGTATTAACAATACACCATATATCTTAATTTAAATTTTATAGATTCATCAAATTTACATAACTGGATTACATGTACTAAATGAGTACCTCAGAGTACTCTAGAATCCAAAGAAGGAACTGGGCACCAGTAGCTTATGCCTATAATCCTAGATATTCAGGAAGCTGAGATTTGAGGATCACAGTTCAAAGTCAGCCCAGACAGGAAAGTTCATGAGACTCTTTATCTCCATTAAACTACCAAAAAAAGCCAGAAGTGGAACTGTGGTGCAAGTGGTAGAGTGCTACCCTTGAGCAAAAGAACCAGCATTCAGGCCCTGAGTATCCAGAGAAGGGGTTCCAGTTAAAGATTTCTTTTTGTTCCCAGAGATCTTCATCTAGATGATCATGAAAAAATAAGTCTCCATTAGTATTAATTAAGTCAAACAGGTCTTTGAACAAATAACTATGCACAGATCATCTTTCACCTACTTCTTGTTACAAAATCTGAATACCTTAAAATGCTTAAGTGTTTTTTAAAAAAAATTGTTTTTTGATGGGACTAATAGTTGAGTCACATAACCAGCCTGTTTTGCTTTTAGTTTATTTTGGGGGGTATCACTCACTTTTGCCTAAGACTAACCTCAGGACTGTAGCCGTCCTCCCTATGGTTTGGTAGCTGGACTACTGAAGTACATGCATGCCCAGCTTGTTGTTTTTACCTTGGCTGCCACAAACCATGATCCTCCCATTCTCTACCTCTGGTATAACTGAGATTATAAGCATAAGCTACCATGCTGGTTTCAATAATGTCTTTAATAGAGGCAGTGTTACTCCAAATATTTCTTTAAATGTGGTTCATACTCTTTTTTCAGTTCTGAGACAAGTCTAATACAGGAAGATGTGTGTGTGCGTGTGTGCGCGTGTGTGCGCGCGTGCCCTAGGGCTTGAACTCTGAGCCTGGGCACTGTCCCTAAGCTCTTCAGCTCTAGGCAAACACTCTACCACTTGAGCCACAGGGCTACTTCAGGTTGTCTGGTGGTTAGTTGGAGATAAGAGTCTCGCAGATTTTCCTGCCCAGGCTGGCTTTGAACGAGATCCTCATATCTCAACTTCCTGAGTAGCTAGGAGTACAGACATGAGCCACCAGTACCCAGCAACAGGAAGATCTTTGTCCAGGTATCTCTAGAAGTACCTCTCTAGAGAAGCAGTGCAGATAAATTGTTGTCAGCATAAAACATAAACTTTATACTTGAAGCTCTTTTGTTTTACTTTGAATTTCCCCTAGAAATAAGAACTGGTTTTAGTGTGTACTTTTTTCTATGTATATGTATTCAGCCATGTATAACAAGATAAAAAGATAACCATCATATCTTTATAGAAACAAATGAGATCATGTAGATACGTAATTTGCTTTTTTCACTTAACAAATATCCATTCAGTACACCTAATTATAGATGTCAGGTACTTAATATTTAGTGAGATATTTAGTGATAGCATATTAGATTATATATTTATTCCTTAGATTATGTGTAATTTCCTAGATTGTTTACCATTTGATGAATTTAGTTATTGGATTCTCTTTTTTCTTATTTTATTGACATTTACTATACGATATCATGTGTTACAGGTATTTCTCTCTACCCCATTATGATTTTTTTTAAGTTAATTTTGTTTAGATCTCTTTTGAAAATTCTGTTCTACTTATAATTTTTCACTTGTCTATACCCCAAGATTATAGAACTATTCTTTTAAATTTTTTTCTAATATCCATAGCAATTTTTTCCACTGACATATTTAATTCATCTGGTTTTAAAAGATATTCTAAAATTTAGGAAATCTCTGAGTTAAATCTGAGATTAAATATAATAATGGTTAAGATAAGTAAACTTTTAGTTTCTGTATATCTGTAAGCTTAGATATGTACCTGTATGTTTCTCTGTTGAATTATGAAAGTTTATCATATATAGCTGGTATTTATGCTTAAAAGACATAGTAGTCTACTTCTAAAGTGTAATGCTGAAAGTCTACATAAAAGAACCATTTCCTTCACAGAGTATGATATAGACATGATGATAGCTTGATGGTGAGTCTTTTTTATTTTATACACTTGCTTATGGATGAATAAAATTTTCAAATGTGGCTGTTGAAAGAAAAGGCTATCTGGGCTGGGAATGTAGCTCAATATGCAGTCTCAAAGTAGAGCTTGCCTGACATGAATGAGGCCCTGTTTTTGACTTTTAGTACTGCAATTTAAAAAAAGAAAAGAAAAGCAAGAGAGACTTTCAATTTTGTGTTTTAGCTGGGAACTGATGGCTCACACCTGTAATCATAGCTACTCAGGAGGCTGATATCTAAGGATCACAATTCAAAGCCAGCCTGGGTAGGAAGGTCCGTGAAACTCTTATCTCCAGTTAACCTCCTGAAAACCAGGAGTGGTGCTGTGGCTCAAGTGGTAGAGTGCTAGCCTTGAGCTGAAGAGCCAGAGTTCAAGCCACACTACCGACAATAAATAAATAAATAAAAACTATGTTTTACCTAATTTTAAAAAGACTACTCAATGACTGCAAACTGTATTTATATTTATACCTACATAATACTAAATCTATAAAGTTCTTTTCCAGAAGGCATTTTGTTTTTGTGTTTATTTACAAGGTACATTTATATTCTTTAAGTGTCCAAATATGCTTATGTAAATAAAATGAAACATACATTTCACTTTTAAAAACACTAATGGTATAGTTCAGGTAGCTTGTTTTTTTTTGTCCTGCCACCTTTTATTTAAATATTAAAAATTCTTTTTCTTTTAGCTTAAGAAAATCCGATCACTGCTTGTTGCTGGAGCTGCACAGTATGATTGCTTTTTCCAACATTTGCGCTTGTTGGATGGAGCACTTAAACTATCAGCTAAGGACCTTAGATCCCAGGTGGTCCGGGAAGCTTGTATTACTGTGGCGTAAGTATATTTGTTTTGGCTGAGTATTTTTTAATGAATGAATTTAGTACTCATTGATTCATTGCTTATTAGGTAAAGCAATAGCACGATAACCCCCAAAAATTATTTTTCTTATACGTAAGGATTTAATACTTAGGATTTGTTTGTGTATATGCACGCACATGCATGCATGCGTACCAGTCCTTGGCTTGAACTCAGAACCTGGGCACTGTCCTTGAGCTTTTTTGCTCAAGGCTAACACTCTACCATTTGAGCCACGGCTTCACTTCTGGCTTTTTGATGGCTAATTAGAAATACTAGGCTTACAAACTTTCCTGCCTGGGCTGAACTTGAACTGTAATTCTCAGGTCTCAGCCTTTTGAGTAGCTAGGATTATAGGCATGTGCCACATGTGCCTAGCTTCATGATTATTCTTATTTTCAAAACATTTCTTTATTGAGATTAAGTGACTACATAAATTTCACAATACTGTGATGTAGTTATACTTAGCTAAAGTCACAAACACATTTTAACCTTATAATGATCATCATGTTAATCTGCAAAGTTTATGAACTCCATGAACTTTAATAATAAAAGTATTTCTTCCAAATTGGGTAATATGTGCATTTCTTTCCTTTTGCCTACCATCAGCTGTTCCCTCTTTCTCTCTCATTCCCTTCCTCCCATTACCACCCTTGAATTGCTTAGTTCACTTTCATCCATGTCTAGTACAGCTGATAGGTCCCTCTGCTGTATTTTTTCACCTGTTTTCCACTGATTCTGTGCCCTTCTCCCAACTTCCCTCAGATATGCACATGTATATACCATATGTGGGGTAAAGAATATACACTCATCCAAAAACAATAGGACATATTAAGAAGAGATCCTTCGTTTCCTTGTCTTTGGGGTTCTTTTCAGTCTGTATATTATTTTATACACATGAAAAGGTGCTTGGGTATTACAATTTGGTGTTATTCTCCCAAGACTGACCTCTTTTGGTTTTACTGTGTATAAGTTTCTTGAATCCTGTTTACTTTGTCCTATCTTGTTGCGTTTTGAATCTAATATCCACATATCAGGGAGACCATGTACCGTTTGTCTCTCTGATCTTGGCTTACCTCACTAAACATGATTTGTTCTAGTTCTATCCATTTCCCTGCAAATGCCATTATTTTGTTCTTTCTGATGGCTCTGTAAGATTCCATTGTACGTAGGTAGCACAATTTTCTTTTTTTGGGGGGGGGGTCTGGTCGTGGGGCCTGAACTCTTGGCCTGGGTGCTGTCCCTCAGCTCTTCAGCTCAAGGCTAGCACTCTAACCACTTGAGCCACAGCGCCACTTCCGGCTTTTTTTTTTTTTTTTGCTTATGTGGTGCTGAAGAATCGAACCCAGGGCATTAAGCATGCAAGGCGAGAGCTCTACCACTGAGCCAACTTCCCAGCCGGTAGCACAATTTTTTGATCCATTCATCTGTAGTGGGGCATCTGGGTTGTTTCCATATCTTGGCTATTCTGAGCAGTGCAGCAATGAACATGGAGGTGCATGTGTCTTTGTATCCTAGTTCCTGTTGCTCAAAGTAGATGCATGCCTAGGAGGGGTATGGCTGGGTCTTAGGGTCTTTCTATGTTTAGTTTTCTGAGGAACATCCAGACTGCTTTCCAGAGTGGTTGTATTAGTTTACATTCCCACCAGCAGTGCATCCTCTGCCAGCATTTGTTGTCGTCTGAATTCAGAATATAGGCCATTCTGACTGGGGTAAGATGGTATCTCAGCATTGTTTTTATTTGCATTTCCTTTATGGCCAGGAATGTCGAATATTTTCTCATGTTTCTTTGCCATTTTTACCTCTTCTGAGAAGCCTCTCTAGCTCCCTTACCTATTTAGTGATTGGTTTGTTAGATTTGGGAGGGATTAGTTTCTTGAGCTCCCTGTATATAATGGATATTAGGCCTTGGTCTAATATATTGCTGGTAAATATCTTTTCCCAATTGGTTGGCTGTCTTTCTAGTTTGGTAGCTATGTCTTTAGCTGTGCAGAAATTTGTCAAGTCTCTCTCCAATCTGTTGTGCCCCTGGGATTCTGTTCAGGAAGCTCCTGCCTGTGCCTATAAGTGTCTCTACTACTCTGTCCTTCAGTAGCTTCAGAGATTCAGGTTTGATGTTAAGGTCTTTAATCCATTGACTTGATGTTAGTGAATGGTGACAGGCTGGGGTCCACTTTTAGTTTTCTGCATGTGGTCGCCCAGTTTTCCCAGCACCAATAGTTGAAGAGGCTATGCTTCTTCCACTGTATGTCTCTGGCTCCTTTGTCAAATATCAACTGACTGTACATATGTGGTTTTATTTCTGGGTCTTCTAATCTGTTCCATTGGTCTTTGGGTCTCTTTTTGTGCCAATACCAAGCTTCTGTTATTATTACTCTATAGTAGAGCTTAAAATCCAGTATCGTGATCCCTCCCGCATTCTTTCTTTTGTCTAGAATTGTTTTGGCTATTCTAGGTCTTTTGTTGTTCCATATGAATTTTTGGATAGTTCTGTTTCAGTAAAGCACTTCATTGGGATTTTTTATGGGGATTGTGTTGAATTTGTTTATCATTTTTAGCAGTATGGCCATTTTCACAATATTGATTCTACTTGTCCATGAAGATGGAAGGCCTTTCATTTCTTTGATTTTTTTCTTTAGATTTTTATAATTTTTACTAAATAGGCCCTTTACATCTTTGGTTAGGTTAATTCCTAGATTTTGTATTCTTTGTGAAGCTAGTATGAATGGGGTTGTTTTCCTGACTTCCCTTTGTGCTTGTACATTGTTGGTGTACAGAAAGGCAACTGATTTTTGTTGGTTCATTTTGTATCCTGCTACTTTGCCAAAGTGGTTTATAAGTTCTTCGAGTTTGGAAGTGGAGTTTTTTGGGTTGTTCAGGTATAAGTCATATGCAAATAGGTATAGTTTCGTCTTTCCCTATGTGGATCCCTTTAATGTCCTTCCCTTGCCTTATTGCTATGGCTAAAGATTCCAGGATTATATTGAAAAGGAGTAGAGAGAGTGGGCATCTTTGCCTTGTTCTTGATTTTAGGGGAAATGGTTTTAGCTTTTCCTCATTTAGTATGATATTGGCTCTTGGTCTGTCATATATGGCTATTACTGGCTTAAAGAATGTTCCTTTTATTCCTATTCTCTCCAGAGCTTTTAACATGAATGAATCTTCTATTTTGTCAAAAGCTGTTTCTGCGTCATTGAGATAACCATGTGGTTTTGACCTTGGCTCTGTTAACATGGTGAATTACATTTATTGATTTGTATATGGTAAACCAGCCTTGCATCTGTGGAGTGAAGCCTACTTGGTCATCATGTATGAGTTTAAAATATTTTTTTTCTGGGGCTGGGAAGGTGGCTCAGTGGTAGAGCGCTTGCCTTGCATGCATGAGGCCCTGGGTTCGATTCCTCAGCACCACATAAGCAGAAAAAAAAAAGCCTGAAGTGGCGCTGTGGCTCAAGTGGTAGAGTGCTAGCCTTGAACTGAAGAGCTGAGGGACAGCACTCAGGCTCAGAGTTCAGGCCCCACGACTGGACCCCCCCAAAAAAAAATTTTTTTCTGGATCCTGTTGACTAATATTTTATTGAGCTTTTCATCTGTATTCATCTGAGACACTGGTCTGTAGTTCTCTTTTGGTTGGATCTTTACCTGGTTTTAGGGTGACTGTGATATTGCTTCATAGAATGAGTTTGGGATTGCTTCCTCTGCTTCTATTTCATGGAAGAGCTTGATTATGAGTATTAGTTCCTCTTTAAAAGTCTTACAGAATTTTGTGGTAAATCCATGTGGGCTTGGGCTTTTCCTTATTGGAATATTTCTGATTGCTTCCTCTATCTCATTGCATGTTATTGGTTTATTTAGTTGATTTATATCTTCTTGGTTCAGTTGGGCAATTTGTATTTCTTTAGAAATTTGTCCATTTTTGCTAGGTTTTCCTTCTTTAGTGAGTATAGATTCTGGAAATAATTCTTTATGATCATTTAGCTGCCTTGGATGTTGGTTGTAATTTTTCCTGTGGCATCCCTGATCTTACTGATTTGGGTCTCCTCTCTTTTGTTAATCTTTCAAGGGGTCTGTCAGTTTTATTTTTTTCAAAAAAAAACCAGCCTTTTTTGTTTCGTTAATTTTATTTATAGTTTTTAAAATCTCTATTTCACAGGGCTGGGAAGGTGGCTCAATGGTAGAGTGCTTGCCTTGCATGCCTGAGGCCCTGGGTTCGATTCCCCAGCACCACATAAGCAAAAAGGAAAAAGCCGGAAGTGGCGCTGTGGCTCAACTGGTAGAGCGCTAGCCTTGAGCTGAAGAGCTGAGGGACAGCACCCAGGCCCAGAGTTCAAGGCCCCACGACCGGACCCCCCCCCAAAAAAAAATTCTCTATTTCACTAATTTCTGCACTTAACCTTGTTTATCTTGCTCCATCTAGTAACTTTAAGTTCAATTTTTTCTTGCTTTTCTAACAGTTTTAGTTGCATCATGAGGTTATTTACTCAAGTAAATATATTTAATATATTTTTTATAGTGCTGGCTTATTGTTCATGAATTCCTTGATATGTGCACTCAGAGCAATGAACTTGCCCCTCAGGACTGCTTTTGCTGTGTCCCAGAGATATATTTTCATTGAATTGAATTGTAGGAACTTACTAATTTCTTCTTCTGTGACCCAGGTGTTATTCGGTAGTGTACTGTTTAGCCTCCATGTATTTGAGTAATTTCTGCAGTGTGCTTTGTTGTTGAGAACTGATTTGGTTCACTCTGGTCCGATAGAATACAAGGGATTATGTCAATCCTCTTGTATTTGCTTAAATTCTATGATATGATCTATTTTGGAGAAAGTTCCAGGGGCTGCTGAGAAGAATGTTTATTGGGTCATTGTTGGGTGGGAAACTCTGTAGACGTCTCTTAAGTCCGTCTGGGATATTTAGTTCAGAGGCTACTTTGCTTATCCTCTGTTTGGTTGACGTGTACTTTGGTGAGAATGTGATATTAAAAGTCTCCCACTACTATCGTATTTGAGTCTATCTTGTTTTGTCAGTCTGAGAGTATTTGTTTAACATATTTAGGTGCTCCATTGTTTGGTGAATATAAATTGATGGTGGTGATACCCTCTTCTTGGATTGTTGTCTGTATTAATATGTAGTGACCTTCTTGTCATTTTGTACTGATTTTAATGAGAAGTCTATTCTGTCAGATATCAAATTGGCGACCCCTGCCTTTTTGCTGGGTACATTTGCATGGAAGGTCTTCCATTCCTTCACTGGGAGTTTTTGTCTTTGGTTGTGATATGCGTCTCTTGGAGAAACAAATGGATGGATCTTGTTTTCTGATCTATTGTGTGGTTTGTTTTCTTTTGATTGGTGAATTGAGTCTATTAATGTTTTTGGTTATTATAGAGAGATGTGTTATGTTTCCTGCCATTTGCTCCTTTCCTTTTTCTGTGCCTACTAAATTGATCTCCTAATGATTTCTATATGATGAGGTGCCCTGATCTTAATTGTTTTCTTCAGATTGTATTCCTCCTTTTAATATATATTTTTGTAGTGCTGGCTTATTGTTCATGAATTCCTTGAATTTTTCTTTGTTATTAAAAGTTTTAATTTCTCCATTGAATGTGAATTCTAGTTTCAAGACTAAATATACCAGTTTGGGTTGGCATGTTGGTTTTCAGGACTTGGATGGTACCTTTCCAGGCTCTCCTTGTATTGAGGGTTTATGTGGACAGGTCCACAGTGATTGTGATTTTCTTTCCATTGTAGTATAGCTCCTTCTTTGATTTTTCAGCATTTAAAATCAGCTCTTTGCAATTCAGGTCTAGTGTCTTTACTATGATATGTCTAGACATGTTTCTTCTAGGACCTGTTTAGTAGGTATACTGTATGCTTCTGTTATGTGGATAAGATTTTCTCTTTTTTTTATTGTGAAAATACCGTACAGAGGGATTACATGGGCAAGATAATGAGTGCATTTCTTATCAAGCATTGTTGCCTCCTCCTTTGTTTCCCCTTACCATCCCTTCCCATCTCCACCCCTCCCACCCCCCAAGATTTTCTCTTTTAAGATTGGGGAAATTTTCAGTAATAATCTCATTGAATAAGTGTTGCATCCCTCTCTTCTGGTATTCCTCCCCTTACTGACCCTAGTTATACAAAGATTACCAGTTTTTGGACTTCCCTTTGGTAAATTCTGTTGTGTTTTCCCCCCCATATCTGTGACTTTCTTCTGCAGCTCCTCTCTTTTATCTTCAACTCCTGATATTCTGTTTTCCATCTCATTTATTCTGTTATTATTCCATTGTGGTTTGTATTTTGGAAATTGAATCATTTATGGTTCCTATATCGGTTCTTAAAGTTTTGATTTCATCTTTTAATGAGGTGTTTATCATGTCTATTTTTTGTCTGCATTTCTCTTTTGAATTCATGGACTTCACCTTTTATTCCTTTGGTCATTTCTGCCATCATCTCTTTAATTGGTCTTTGTCCTTCATTTCTTCTTCACTGTCACTGGAGTTCTTTCCCAGATTGCTGTTGGCTTTTGGGATTGGTTTGCTGTCTTGACTGTTCATGAATCTTGTAATTTTTCACTGTGACTTACACATTAGTGGTCTGCCTGCTTTTGGTCGACAGGTGGCAGCCTTCGCTTGACTCTGGGTTGGCTCACACTGGGTCGCCCACCCAACCTGGGTCCCCAGGCTGGCTGGTGACTGTGGGCGCACTCAGCCCTGGACTGGCTGAAAGAAACTCTGTCCAGTCTGCAGTGAGGATTGTAATCAGTTAAATTCAGGTGTCTGGGGTGGTCGTTGGCTTCAGAAGGTTTGGCCCGCCGCTTGGAGCGCCTCGTCTGAAGCGCATGTTTGTGCCCCGCACTCACACAAATCGCAATTGTAGACAGGGCAGTAGTTTCCACAGCTCCCTCCAGGGGCCGGAGCCTCCCAGTAGGGGTGTGCTGGCTGTATTTCCACCTGTCATGCTTCCTAACGGGCCTGAAACGCTGGCACACCCACTTGGCAGATCCTGGCCGGGACGAATAGTGTTCCCGCCAGCTGCTGCCCTGTGCGTGCACTCCTGAGAGCCAGTGCTGTGGGCAGCGCACAGTCCTAGCACCTATCAAGTATGAGTCCCTGTGGCCTCCTACTGGAGTGGGGGAGGAGGGAGGGAAAGGCTCTGGCCTCTTGGTCCCTTTAAAGTGTGATGTTCCTTCTTGGGCAGGTCAAGTTCTATGGGTCACAACCAGAGCTGGTCTCCTATTGGGGGATCGGGAGCGGGTACTCACTGATCCTGGGACTAGTTGTGGGCTGTGCCGTGGTGCTGTTAGGAGCTCTCCGGGTCTGGGTGTCTCTGTGCTTTGTCTCTGGTCTCAGTCTCTCTCTGTGCTGCCCAGGTCCCGCTGTAGGAGTTTTCTGCGTCTAGTTCTGCAGTCTGCTGGTGATCCTGAAACCCTGGCAGGCCGCGGGTGGCTTTTAGCAGCTTGGCTGCGCTTCTGCGAGGGGCGAGTTTACATCTTTGTATGCAATATGAGCTTTTTTCTTTTTCCTCTCCGGTTTCTGTGACTCGCTGTTTGTTCGATTTTTTGCTGTTTCCATCTCTTGGGACACCGCTATGCTCTATTTGGTTAGAGAGAGGGTGATTTCCTATTGTTTCGGCACCATCTTGGGGTCCTCAGTATGATTCTTTTTTAAAGAAAAAATATTTTGCCAGGCACAGGTAGCTCACACCTATAATCATAGCTGTTCAGGAGGCTGAGATCTGAGGATTGTGCTTTGAAGCCAACCTAGGCGGAGGTCAGTGAGACTCTTATCTCTAAGCACCAAAAAAAAAACTGGAAGGTGAGCTATGACTCAAGTGGTAGAGTACTAGCCTTGAGCCAAAAAGCTCAGGGACAGTGCCCAGCCCTCAATTTAAGCCCCAGGACCAACATAAAAAAAAATAGGGCTGGGAAGGTGGCTCAGTGGTAGCGTGCTTGCCTTGCTTGCATGAGGCCCTGGGTTGGATTCCTCAGCACCACATAAGCCAAAAGAAAAAAGCCGGAAGTGGCGCTGTGGCTCAAGTGGTAGAGTGCTAGCCTTGAGCTGAAGAGCTGAGGGACAGCGCCCAGAGTTCAGGCCCCAGAACAAGAAAGAAAAGAGAGGGGGAGGAGGAAGGGAGGGAGGGAAAGGAAGGAAGGAAGTTAGTTAAGAAAAGAGAAGTATTTTATAACTCTATATCATCCTTAACTTGATCCCAGAAAGGCCACCAATATATAGGAATAGTTCTAAACCAGATCCAATATACAAGTCTACTCTAGACCCCATTTCTCCCAATAAGCTTATAAAAATCAAACTGACTTCTAGGTATATTACCGGCCTACCAGAACAAAATTCATACTCTGTGAGGAAGACAATATCCATACATAAGAGACATCTTCCTGATTTTGAGTTTTTCACCTGTGAATTGAGGCATTTTACAATTGACCTTATAACCGGACACTGTTAAACAGGTCTGAATCTGAGTGCCTCTTTTAATGAACAACCTGAGTTTTTAGAGTTCTTAAGCAGCATGTATTTTATTTTGTTTGTTTATGCCATTTCTGGGTTTGAACTCTGCAAGCCTTCAGCTTTCAGGCCTTGCTTACTTGGCTGGCATGCTACCATTTAAGCCATACCGCCAGGTCAATTTTTTCTTTGTTTGGACATGGAATTTCTAGACTTGTCTGTGCAGAATAGCTTTGAACCTTGATCTTTCTAATCTCAGCCTCCTGAAGTAGCTAGGATTATAGGTATAAACCACCAGTACTTTGCCTAACCATGTATTTTAAATTAGATGCCATATAAAAATATTGAAATTGACCAATACTACAATTATTGCTACAACTGCCAATGACTACAGCATACTTTGTGAGTGTTTTAACTAACTCAGATAAAGTCTCGATTAGTTGCTTTTCTGCAAATTTGAAAAGAAAAGATTGATGTCCTTAAAAAAACCCATCCAACGGCTGGGTGCCAATGGCTCATGGCTATAATTCTAGCTACTCAGGAGGCTGAAATCAGGATCGCGGTTCAAAGCCATCCCCGGCAGGAAAGTCCATGAAACTCTTATCTCCAGTAAAACCACTAGAAAACCAGAAGTGGCGCTGTAGCTCGAGCATCAGAGTGTTTGCCTTGAGCTGAAGAGCTAAGGGACAGCACCCAAGGCCAGAGTTCAAGCCCCACGATCGACAAAAACAAAAGTCCAACTAGAGATCAACCCCCAAAATGTCAAGCACTAATTTTGTGGAAAAAACAGACGTATCGTTAATAGAAATAGAGAATGCTTCAAGGAACATTGATTCAAGTAATATTTTGAACTATATTATAAAATATTTTGAACTCTTACTGGGCATCAAAATTGAAATATCTGATGAATCAAGACCAAAAGTCATGGTAAACAGATCTGATATTTTTCTTGATGTTAATTTAGAGCTGATAGTTTGACCAGAGATAAATAGGAAAAACTAAAGAGATAAATAGGAAAAAGAAAAGAACATATAGTATTTGGACTTCCCTTTCAGGAAAAATACTTTATTGAAAATGATCTTATCTATATTTAAGATTAAACTATTAAAAATATTTTTGTTTTCTTTTGTAGCCACCTTTCAACAGTTTTGGGAAACAAGTTTGATCATGGCGCTGAAGCCATTGTACCTACACTTTTTAATCTTGTCCCCAATAGTGCAAAAGTCATGGCAACTTCTGGATGTGCAGCAATCAGATTCATCATTCGGGTAGGTTTCCCCTCCCTCCCTCTCCTATTGCATTTACATAAATCATTAGTATTTTATTAAGCTCCAAAGAAGAAACATCACTTTTTATTTCTTTTTTTTCTGATAATAAAATACATAATTATTATATTACATGTAGATAATATAAAGCAAATATGCTTAAATACGCAATATAGTTCATATCCATATATATAGTTGTGCATCCTGTGTACAATCTCAAATATTACAAGCAGCAATAAAAACAACAAATCTTAGTATTTCTCATAATGAATATCTTGACAATGCCTACACCTTAAAAAAAAATTCTCAGCAGGGCACCAGTGTTTCACACCTGTAATCCTAGCTACTCAGGAAGCTGAGATCTGAGGATCTTGGTTAGAAGCCAGCCTGGGCAGAAAAGTCCCCATGAGACTGTTATCTCCAATTAACCACTCAAAAACCAGAAGTGATGCTGTGGCTCAAGTGGTAGAGTGCTAGCCTTGAACAGAGGCTCAGAGACAGTGCTCAGACTCTGAGTTCAAGCCCCATGACTGAAAAAAAAAAATTCTCTCCCTTTAAATTCTGTTTCTCTATCATTTTTCTAGCATATACATTTCCAAATTTCTATTCTATGCTAGTACAACCATAAGTCACCCAAAATTGTAAATACTAAATAGAAAATGTAAATACTGAACATACACATGGTTTGTGTTTGTGCTTTATTTTCAAATTTTTGACTATTGAAATAGTATTTTTACTATTACAATAGTTTTTTTTATTATTCACTGTCCATCATGCCTATTCCATTTCATTTTCATAATTTAGAAGCTCCTTATTCTTTGTCAATGTTAAGAAGAAAACCTTCATTTACTGGCTCTTACATTTTAGCTGGCTGCTAGTGGCGCACGCTTGCAATCCTCAGGAGGCTGAGTGAGATCTGAGGATAGTGATTCAAAGCCAGACCAAGGCAGGAAAGTCCATGAGAATCTTATTTCTAATTAATAATCAAAAGCCAGAAGTGGAATTTTTCTAACATGATAGATCACTAGTTTTGAGCAACAATGCTCAAAGACAATATCTAGACCCTGAGTTCAAGCCCCAGGACCACCACCAAAACAAATGAATATTTTCATGGATGTAGTGATACATTCCTCAAATCCTAACATTCCAGACTGAATCAGGAAGATCTCAAGTTCAAGAATAACCTGGACTCTCCAAAAATCAAAACAAAGCAAAAATAAGCACCTAAAAAGTATATCTTTATCCTGTTCATGCATTCTTGCTCCCTTAATGGTTATATTACACTTAGCAAGTAATTTTCAACTATTTCTATCATTTAGCAGTGTTTGTTGCTATATTCCCATATCCCATTTTTTAATTGCTTTTGGGCCATTCTTGTTTGGACTTTATGTTTTCTCTTTTTTTTAATGTTATTTTTATCATTGCACATACTGCCATGAGCTACTGTGCCAAGCTGAGAGGATTATTTCTTGTATTCATTTCAGTATCACATATATTCAAATTGGAGTGGTATAAAAGATTAGCCTGGCCCCTGTGCAAGGGTGAGACACAGATTCATAAAGTGTTGCTAAAGTGTTCTACATTTTTTAAATAAGTCTAGTTGCTTGGACATGAAATTGCAGCTACTTTGCAGGCTGACATTTAGGAACACCACTGCTCAAGGACAGCCCAGGCAAAAAAGTGAGGCCTACTGTCACTCAATGAGCCAAGCAATGTGATGTGCACCTGTGCTTCATGCTTCGCAGGAGGCATTGATAAGAAGTTCAGGACTAGGACAGCCCTCAGCAAAAAACTCCAAACTCTACCTATAAAACAACTAAAGCAAAAAGGGCTGGCAATGTGACTCAAGTGGTAAGAATACCCTGGTACCAGTACAGCCAACATTTAAAAGAAAAAAAAAATCCTTTATATCACCAATGCTGGCAGAAGCACTATTTGTAGACAGTATCTTCAAGGATTTTTATGCTAAAGGGAACTACCTTTTCCAGGGTCTTTCCCCTTTTTACTATGGCTTATATCCAAAAACTGACTGATATGGAAGTATCTTGGACCAACTTGGAGCTGTTCTGAAAACCATTTTAACTTTACTGGATCTCATCATGGTTTCCTCAGTTGCCTACTTCTGTTTTTTCTTCCTTCCATGGGTAAAAATACCCAAGGGTATATTAAATTCTCTGCACACTAAGCTGCATCTCAGAGCTTGCTTCCTAGGTAACCCAACCTTTACCATTAGCTCAGAAGACAAATAGATTTGTGGCATCTAATATGTACACTTAGGTAGCCATTTTGTACAGTATCTTTAATGAAATTTTTAGTGTTTGCTTCACTAGAAAAAAAACAGTTGCTAGTGTCTACAAGTTTGTATTACTAAACTTGTATTTGAATTGTAGTAGATATGATTTAGCCAGAATGAAAATTCTGTTAGAATCACCATTTCAAACTGTATTCTCAATAGTTAAGAATATTGACTCACTCTGGTTCTCTGTTTTGATAACATACAATTATTATTTCTACCAGCAGTAACAAAGGTAGTTTAGAAAACATGAATTCATGTCAGGTTCCTCTTAATGCTCCTTTTTCCATAAATGATACTCGCCTAACAGTTATTTACAGTTTTGCAATTCATTTGTCTTTGTAGTATATTACTTTATCCTCAGCTGTCCTTTTGAAACTGTAACATGATTACTATTACTTTAATTTGAAATCTGACTTAAAGTTTTTGTTTTGTCATAACATAGTTAAGTACTTGAATGTAAGGCACACAGAAGAAAGGACTACATGAAGTGCACAGTATTTTTCATCCTTTTCTGAAACATCTTTTTCAGCATACTCATGTACCTAGGCTTATTCCTTTAATAACAAGCAACTGCACATCAAAATCAGTTCCAGTGAGGAGGTGAGCTTTGAAAATTAATTTTTAATATAACTTTCACATTGCATAATGTTTAATTCTTATTTAGTATAAGAGTTATTGTTAACTAATTCTTAAAGTTGCCTTGCAGAAAATCCATAGTATAGTGAAAAGCACTGGTTTTAGTGGGAGTTGTTATAATTCATGTAAGAGAAAGGCAGAGAGCTGGAGGCATGGCTTGAGGGGAAGAGTATCTGCCTGGCAAATACAAGGTTCTGAGTTGAACTCCAGTACTGTTCCTCCTTCTGCCAAAAAAAATTTGAAGAAGGCAAAATTTGAAATACAGCTATATTGATGATTGAAGGAGATATTAGTTAATAAATCAAAATCCATTTTTCATTTGTGGAAATGAGACTTGATGACTAGAGGTATGATATCAAGTGCTTTTGATTATTAACATTGGAATCAAAGCCCCAGCATTGGTATCTCAGCTTTATCACTTTGAGCACAGTTAACTTTTCCTGTTATTATTTCCTAATATGTATGATATGTACTAAAAGAGTAGATTGGAGAAGGCAAAAATTAATTTATCTTTTGTAAATTGGGCTTGATAGTCATTGCCTATGTGGACATGTTTATGAGCTGGCTAAAACTTAACTAAAGCAAAGAAACAGTGCTAGAAATAAGGATTAGATGTAAGAATTACATCAGATAGAGCCAGGTACAAGGTAAGATTGGCTCCACCAGATGAGCAACTATTTAAGGACAGGTGCATAAAAGATGTTAGTAAAGAAAACAAAGCAGTGATCCAAGGAAGAAACACCTGGAGTTGAAAATTAGAGGTCTTATGAGAAAATATATACAAACTTGCTTTTTTTTTTAACAAACTTGCTTTTTAAAAATCATATATCTTAATATTTAAGGAAACAAAATGTAGAACAAAAAGACTTATTTTGTCATTTCATGTCTTTGGTTATCATTATGTGTCTTCAGTGGCTAGTGTGAGTGGAATTTGTTAAATTTTATATTTAATAAACATTTTAAAGTTAAATTTATGGGGAAATCTTCAGTTCTTTAAACTAGCACTGAAAAAGTTGGATGTTAAAATAAGATACTCTTTAATTAAATATCTAGAAACTATGCCATACAAAATTACACAGGAATGTATTGATGAGTTGCTTGATGCAAAATTTAATTATAAGTTAACTTTTATCTTTCAGGCGTTCCTTTGAATTTTTAGATCTGTTGTTACAAGAATGGCAGACTCATTCCTTAGAAAGGTATGCAAGGCACCTCTCTCCTACTCCCACCTCACTCCCCTCCTTATTGTTAGCCAGTTCTTTAGAAGATGATGAGGCTTTGGTTTTGCGTTGTTTCTCATTTTGCCTATAGGCTTTTTGTTCTGCCTTACCTTGAGTCTGTGCTCCTCTTATGCTTTTAGATGCTAGTCTGATTTTCTTCTTAGTAGGGTGGATAAGAATTCCTTGAGTAGAATGGGTCATATAAGATCCTCTAAACTGGGTGCTTGTGGCTCACACCTGTAATCTTAGCTACTCAGGAGGCAGATATCTGACTATCAAAATAAAGCCAGCCTGGGCAGGAAAGTCTATGAGACTCTTATCTCCAGTAAACTGCTCAAAAAATCCAGAAGTGGCACTGTGACTCAAGTGATAGAGCACTAGCCTGAGCAAAAGAAACTAAGGTACAGCATCCAGGCCCAGAGTTCAAGTCCTAGGACAGGCCAAAAAAAAAAAAAAAAAGATCCTCTAAGATGAAGTGGCCAAAAATGAAAGCAGTGTATCTTTAATCCTGTTTAATTGGTTTCTTAAGCTAAAATTTATCACTTAATATATGATTTCACATAGAGAGAAGCAAGGAACTTCCTTTTAGAGGAAGGAGATACTTTTAAAAATAGAGACTAGGAATGTTGGAACATGTATATAATCCTCTCTACTCAGGAAATGAAGATAGGAGGAACTAGTTCAAGTCAGTCCCTGTTAGCAAGGCCCTATCTGAAAAACTAAAAACCAGAAAGGACTGGGGTTGTGACAAGTGATAGGACACTTGGCAGGTGTTCAATTCCTAGTACAGCAAAAAAGGAGCGAGATTGAGGCAAAAGGGAAAGAGAAACAAGAGGAAGTGGGAGATAAAGGAATCATTTATAAAATTTCTTCACATCCGCTGTTAGGTATCATTGCTAAAGTAACATACTGGATACTATATGAGGACAGCTTTTTGGTCACTGGCTATTTGCACAGCTATATTTCTTATTACTTTGAACCTTAAAGCAATAACATCTCTTTAAGTACATTCATTGCTGAGTCTTTCTTTTTATTTTTATTTTATTTTTATTTTATTTTTATTTTTTGGGTCCAGTCGTGGGGCCTGAACTCTGGGCCTGGGCGCTGTCCCTCAGCTCTTCAGCTCAAGGCTAGCGCTCTACCACTTGAGCCACAG